TTGCAGGCAGTTGTTAGCTGCCATGTGGGTGCTGGGAACTGAACCTAGGTCCTCTGCAAGAACAGCCAGTGCTCTTAACCACTCAGCCATCTCTCTAGCCCACTGTAAATTGTTGTTTTTATATATTGGTTTATATGTTTGTAGCTCTTTATCTTAAAGGCAAGATTTATATTTATTCATCTTTGGATTTGTGCCATCTGAGAAGCTTTTTTTGTTTTATGAAACAGTCTCTCTGTAAGCCCCACTGGCCTGGAACTTATTGTGTAGACCAGGCTGGCCTCACTCTCACAGAGATCTGCCTGCCTCTGCCTTGGAATGCTGGGATTGACAATGTGTCCTACCATGCCCCATTTAATACCTAGATTTTAGTACGTATTTGTGGTCAGACACATGGTGTAAGCATGCAGTCCAGCTACTCAAGAAGCTGAGGCTCACTTGCTCACTTGAACTTAGGAATTTGAGACCTGGGCGGTATAGACTGTCTCTTTTAAAACAAAGTATAGCCGGGTATGGTGATGCCTTTGCTTTAAGTATTCGGGAGGCAGAGACAGGTTGATTTCTGTGAGATTAAGGCCAACCTGATCTATGGTCCAGGCTGAGATAGGGTTATAGGGAGACCCCATCTAAAAAAGACACACACACATACACATACACGTCAAAAAGCAAAAATTAAAAAAAAAATTTTTAACCATTTTGTTTTGGGGGTTTGAACCCAGGATGTTGTTTGTGCATGCTAAATTCCTGTTCTTCTACCAAGCTATACCTTTGACCTAATATATATTTATATGGAATTGTCTGAACATTGTCTAAGGTAATAATGGCATTTTATAATTTAAGTTGAATGATGTTCAGTAGTCTTAAATGAAAAACAGACTTTGGTTCAGCTGTTAAGAGCACTTTCTCCTCTTCCAGAGGACCTTGATTCAGTTACCAACACCCACATAGCAGCTAACAACCATCTATAATTCCAGTTCCAGGGGATCCAATGCCCTCTTCTGACCTCCAAGGCATTCTACATCTTGGGTACATTTAATACATTCAGGCAAAGCACTCATACACATGAAATAGAAATAAATAAAAAAGGAACAAAAGGAAAACAGACTTTTCTACTCTGGGATCTCTTAAAATTATCATTAGATTTAAGCTTCTCATTACTTTATAACCTTCATTCTTAAGGAAAGATATGAGTAAGAATAAGAGTGGTATCGAGCTGAGATCTAGACTACTACCAGAGGCTAGACATGACAGTAAGGAAGAATCTGCAGAGACTCTACAAGAAATCATAACTTAGACCTTCTGCTATCAAAATATTATTCAACATCATACCCTTGAGGTTTTATTTATATTTGAAAGTATTCAGGAGGGGGTGAATCTGTGAGATATAAGATCTTTGTAGTAGAAGTTAGAAAGTAACTTCCATAGTCCTTTAGACTCACTTTAAGATTGTGTGACTCTTTTCTGGCTGCTCTTCTGCTGTTCGTTTTATGAAAGCCATGTTAGGTAATCTAAGTAGACATTTACTTTTTTGATGTTTTTTGAGATAGGATTTCTCTATATCCCTAGCTGTCCTGGAACTTACTATGTAGATCAGGCTGGCCTTGAACTCACAGAGATCCGCCTGCCTCTGTCTCCTGAGTGCTGAGATTAAAGGCATGTGCCACCATGCCCGGCTCTAGAGGTTTGTTAAAATATATATTCTATTTATTCTTTTTATTTTATGTGTATGAGTGTATTGCCTGTATGTAGGTAAGTGCACCCGTGTCATGCAATGCCTGTGGAGGACAGAGAGGCCATTGGATTCCCTGGAACTGGAGTTACGGACAGTTGTTAGCTGCCATGTGGGTGCTGGGATTTGAACCCAGGTCTTCTGCAAGAACAATCACTGTTCTTAACCACTGAGCCATCTCTCCAGTCCCTAGAGTTTTGTTTTTAATGGATGGTGTTTGCTTAGGTTAGAATGGTAATCAGTGACTTATATTAACAGTGTAGAGGAAAGTATTCAGAGAAGAACACAGAAGACCTTATTTCTGTCATTAGTTCCACAAGCAGAAAACTCTATTGGAATCATGATTTCCAGAGCCCAAGCTATTGCCTGGTTTATAACAGAAGAATTGACAACTATCAGCAATGATGGGCATTCTGGTTGTTTGAGTTAGCAGGTAGACCAGAGCGCTCCTTAAATGTGGGTACGTGAAATTCCAGTTGCCATTCCTTGGGCTTCTTTAAGTAAAATTCAGAAAGTAAGTAAAAATTTAGGGTCAGTATTGTTAAAATTTGAAACATGATAAAGAACACATCCAAAGTCATTCTTAGTTTTGAAAAACAACTTTATGAAATAGACTTAATGGAATTGTAAAAGATCCCGGTTACCTGAAGTCAAGGTATAAAAGGGAGGGTCCTAGCCTTGAGACGACATAAAAAGAGGAGCAAATAAATAGATACTTGGTAGGGAAAATTTTAATAAAAGAAGTGAGCTTAGCTGGGCATGGTGGCCCATAATCCCACCACTGGGAAGGCAGAAGGATTGTAACCTCAAGTCCATCCTAGACTACATAGCCAGACCCTGTGTCAAAATAAATGAAAGCCAGAAGCAACTCTGAAAGTAATAACTCTTGAGAGTTGCCTATAGATGAGGTGGTGATCTTTGGTAATTCTTTAGAGACTAGCACAATTGGTTGTCTTTTTTAAATTTTTATTTATTTATTTATTTATTTATTTATTTATTGTTTTTTGGTCTTTTTGAGACAGGGTCTTCCTGTAGCTGTAGCCCTAGCTGGACTGGATTCGCTATGAAGACCAGGCTGGCCTCCAACTTACAGAGATCTGCCTGCCTCTGCCTCTCAAGTGCTGGGATTAAAGGCATGTGCCACCATGCCCAGCCTTGGTTGGCCTTTTAAAAAATGAAACATTGTATGTAGCTGGGCATGGTGGTGCAGGCCTTTAATCCCAGCACTTGGGAGGCAGAGGCAGGTGGATCTCTGTTGAGTTCAAGGCCAGCCTGGTCTACATACTGAGTTGCAGGACAGCTGGGGCTACAGGGAGACCCTGTCTCAAAAAGACAAAAAAGAAAAAGAAAAAAACATTCTGAATGAATGATTTGTTGACCTCATTGGAGCATTTGGGGAAAACAAAAAAAAAAAAAATGGGACTTCATGTCAGTGATCTCACCGTTACCCAGTATATCCGCTTTTGGCTATCCTTCTAAAAACTTGCCAGATGTGGTAGCACATACCTTTAATCCCAGCACATGGGAGACAGAGACAGGCAGATCTCTGTGAGATCAAGGCTAGCCTGGTATACACATGAGTTCCTGGCCAGCTGGGGCTACAGGGAGACCCAGTCTCAAAAAGACCAAACAAGCCACCACCCAAAAAAACAACTAAAAATTTGTCTGGATTCATGTCTAGTCAGAGAAGCTTCTTTTTGTAGTGGGTAATAGCAGTTACTGCACACTCAACTGGTCAAAGTGCTGAGAATAGTGATTGTTAAGTCAAGCCCTAAATGGGACATCTTTACCACCCCTATAAGTTTCAGGGAACATCAGGGAAGAAAGGATAAAAAGAATGTAGGAGTGGAGGAAATGCAGGCTGGAGATGCCTCAGCAGGTAAAGTGCCTGCTATATAAGCATGAAGACCACATAAAAGCTGGATGCATCACATCTGTAACTCCAGCACTGGTTGGGTGGATCCCTGAAGCTCACTGGCCTGCGAGCCAAGCCAAGTTGATGATGAGCTCTAGGTTCATTGAAGACACCCTGTTTTGAAAATGAGAGTAGAGAGTGATTGAGGAAAACACATACCAGCCATCTTTGGCTTCCACATGCATATAGCACAAGCACCTCCATGCACATGTGCACATACCCACACAAACACATACATATACCATCATATACCTACACACAAAAGGAAGAAAAAAATTGACAGTTTTATTTTTTATTTGCTTATGATGTTGTTGCTATTACTATTTTGTGAGACAAGGTACTCTGTAGCCCAGGAATTCACTTATGCCAGTTCACTTCCAGTCAGCCTCCCAAGTGCTAGGATTTATAGGCAATACCATCACACCTAGTTAAGAATAACTTTTAATTCATTTTTTACTTTTATGTGTATGAGTGTATTGCTGCATATATGTAGGTGCACTTGTGTTGTGTAGTGCCTACAGAGGTCAGAAGAGGACATCAGATCCCCTGAGACTGGAGTTACAGACAGTTATTAGCCCTCATGTAGGTGCAAGGAATTGAACCCAGGTCCTTTGCAAGAGCAGTCAGTGCTCTTAACTGCTAAGCCATCTCTCCAGCCTGAGTAACTTTTTTTTTTAATTTATTATTTTTTATTCTATGTGTATGAGTGTTATGCCTGCATGTAGGTAAGTGCACCCGTGTTGTTCAGTGCCCACAGAGGACAGAAGAGGCTGTTGGATCCCCTGGAACTGGAGTTACAGATGGTTGTTAGCTGCCATGTGGGTGCTGGGATTCGAACCCGGGTGTTCTGTAAGAACAGCATCCTTAACTACTGAACTATCTCTCTAGCCCCCTCAGTAACTTTTTTTTTTTTTTTTTTGTCTTTTTGAGACAGGGTCTCCTTGTAGCCCCAGCTGTCCTGGAACTCACTATGTAGACCAGGCTGGCCTTGATCTCAGAGAGATCCGCCTGCCTCTGCCTCCCAAGTGCTGGGATTAAAGGCATGCGCCACCACGCCCGGCTCGAGTAACTTTTAAACAAAAATTTTGGTGGTGCTAGACAAGTACTCTACCACTGAATCACATCCTTAGCCCTCAAAATTTTATTTTTATTTTTTTTTTAGTAAATGAAAGTATGTATTAAACTCTTAGATTTAATCTGTACAGAATTTTTGTCAAAATCTATATAAAGATTGAAAACAAATTTTGTCTTCATGAAGCAGAATAGTCTGGGGACTACCACCCACATTTTAGAACATTCTAAGCATCATAGCTAAGATCTTAAGGTTTAAATATTAATTTAGTGATTCTTTCTTTATAGTTCTACTTATCCAATTCTGAAAAGGAACGTTATGAAAAGGAATTTAGCCAAGAGAGACAACAAGAAATTTTGAGACGAGCAGCAAGAGATTTACCTATCTACACCACATCAACTTCAAAAGGTGAAAGAACACTAAACTTTCCAAAGGATATTTTTAAAAATGTTATTATTTTATGTGGATGAGTGTATTGCTTGCGTGTATGTAAATGCACCTGTGTTATGCAATGCCCACTGAAGTCAGAAGAAGGTATGGGATCCCTGGAACTGGACTTCCATGTGAGTGCTGAGAACTGAACCCAGGTCCTCTACAAGAGCAGCCAGTGCTCTTAACCACTGAGTCATTTCTCCAGCCCTCAAAGGATTTTTTTTTTTTTAAGATTTATGTATTTCAATTTTATGTATTTGAGTGTTTACATATGTGTACATATGCATGCCTGGTGCTCAAGGAGGCCAGAAGAGAACATCGAATCCTTCAGAGCTGCAATTATAGGCAACTGTAAGCCGCCATATGGGTGCACGAAACTGAACATGCAGGTTCTCTACAAGAAAGAGCAGTAAGTGCTCTTAACTGCTGAGCCATTTTTCCAGCCATACCAGAGAATTTTGAAAGTTTTAAATTAAACAAAAATTATTTTTGTTTTGAGACAGGGTCTCCCTTGTAGCCCCAGCTGGCCTGGAACTCACTTTGTAGTTGTAGATCAGGTTGACTGTGATTTCATAGAGACCTGCTTGCCTCTACTTCCCAAATGCTAGGATTAAAGGTGATTGTGACTACACCCAGGAAATTTTTTTTTTTTTTTTTTTTTGAAACGGGGTCTCCCTGTAGTCCCAGGTGGCCTGGAACTCACTTTGTAGATCAGGCTGGCCTTGAACTCACAGAGGTCCACCTGCTTTCTGCCTCCTGAGTGCTGAGACCAAAGGTGTGCACCACCACACCCAGCTGAGCTCAAAGGATTTTAAAAAAAAACATTTTATTAATTTTTTTGTCTTATTATTTTTATTTTTTGTGTATGAGTGTTATGCCTGCATTTAGTTAAGTGTACCCGTGTTGTGCAGTGCCCACAGAGAACAGAAGAGGCTCTCAGATCCCTAGAGCTGGAGTTACAGACAGTTGTTAGCTGCCATGTGGGTGCTGGGTTTCCTACCTGGGTCTTCTGCAAGAATAGTCAGTGTATTTAACTGCTGAGCCGTCTCTCCGGCCCCAGCTCAAAGGAATTTTAAAATTTGTTTATTTCTATTAGGATAGGTATGCTTGGTTTGACTAATCACTGGATATACAGTGATTGCCACAAGTTGTGTCTGCTAGAAGACTTCTGTTTTCTTCATTTCTGTGGTATTTTAAGATATAGATGGATGTATTAACTATACTGAAAGGTTTTTTTTAAATGGGTCTCACTTTAATATGAATCTGGCTTTTTGTATGTTTTGTTGCCTATTTTCACCTTCATTCTCAGCTTTCATGGCTAAAGCTTTCAATTATTATTCCTAGTAAACCATCATTTGGAAATTGTTTGGATTTTAACTGTTGTGTATCATCACTGAATAAGACACAAAGGGGAAGAAATTTAACAAAATAAAGCTGATATTGCAAGCTATGAACTTAAGTTTGCCTGACTCCAGCCTTCCTGCTTCCTCTGAGCCACTGCTTCCCCTGAGGATTACAGATCAGACAGCAGTTTCCTTTCCTTGGGTTTTTAGCTCTGATAGAGAAGAGCCTGAGGGGCCAAGCTGGTCACCTTAATAGAAGAAATTGTTTTAAGTTATGCATTTCATTATTTGATACAAATACAAGGTGGTACTAGCAGCTTGGCAGTTATTCTATGCAAATACTCATTTAAACTCATAATAACCCCATGAGGTGACAGGAACAGAAGCAGAGAACTCCACAGGGTACAGTTTCTTGGGGGTGCTTACTGACAGAGATGGGCCTCCACAACAGCAAGACCAAGTAAATCCCTGCAGTTTGGAGCCAAAGGAAAGGTATATATTGGTTTGGACTAAAATGACACCATCTAAGCTGTGTGAAGATTTCCTGCCCCTGCCTTTCAAGTGCTAGGATTGGTACATTCCAGGCATCTGGGTGCAGTTACAAAGCTCCTCATACTGCTCTGATGTTTTGTTTACTTATGGTATGCTGGGAAAGTGTACGAAAAACAATGAATATCCAGGACAGTCCTTGCAGCTGTGACTCAGATGGCAGTAAGCATGTCAAATTGAATCCCTACTGACACAGGTTACATTACTTGTTCAAGATCATATAAGTTATATGTGAAGGAACAGGATTTGAATCCAGGTGCTCTAACCCTAGAACCCACTAGGCTTCTTAATGACAGTACACATAGAAAGAACTTACCCTTGTAGCTATGCATAATTTTTTTTTAAATAAATAGATGTGTAACTACCTTTTTTTTGTTGTTGTTGTCTTTTTGAGACAGGGTCTCCCTGCAGCCCCCGCTGTCCTGGAACTCACTATATAGACCAGGCTGGCCTTGAACTCACAGAGATCCTCCTGCCTCTGCCTCCCAGGTACTGGTATTAAAGGCACGGGCCACCATGCGCTGCAACATTTATTTTTATAAATGAGACTGTTAGGTTACATGGTTTATGAGGTACACTGTACAGATTTACGAACTGACAGAAAAGATAAAACCAGGCAGGAAAGGTGAAGGGAACTCTTACTATATAGGTAGGTCCCCAGGAAGTCAAAGTATATGTCATAAGCTTGTTTGTGAGAGTTTCTCCATTCACACCCAGCAAGATTTCTTCCCCTTTCCCATGTCCTCTTCATTTTCCCTGTCTTCTATCCTGTTTCAGTTTCTTCATTTCAACATGAGAGTAATTATGTCTCTAGGTTAGTAGAAATAGTAAATGAGATGCAAAACATTTAATATACATCTTGGCATGTAATGGATTTTTCAGCACATTTTCAATAAATGACAACTAATTTTAAATAATTCTTTTTAGTTTGTAGTTCTGAAATAAGTGATTTATAATATTTGCTAGTTGTAGTTGTGTTAATTAGGTGTTTTTAATCCTAGGTCCATAATTTCAGTGGCTATATGAATTTCTGAGCCTTATGCAAAATTTGGGGTACATCTAGTTTTCAAAATGTCCTGTTTATATAGTAGGATCATCTCTTTTTGAAACAGTACATGTATCCCTGAAGGTAAAGAGCCACTGATATAAAAACTTGCCTCTTAATTAGGCATAGGTATCTGCCTATAATCCCAGCAGTCAGGAGGCTAAGGCAGGAGTGTAGGTTCCAGGACAGCCTAGGCTGCATACTGAGTTTGAGATTAGCCAAGACTAGAGAGGGAGCACCTGAATCAGTCACCTGGCCCAATTACTCTTTTTAATATTTACTGCATTTTATTAGTTATAATAGCGTTTTTCTTTTGTTGTTTTTTTCTGGTACTTTTGAGACAGGTTCTCCCTGTAGCCTTAACTGTTCTGGAACTCACTGTGTAGACCAGACTGGTCTTGAACTCAAAGGGATCTGCTTGCCTCTGTCTGCTGAGATTAAAGGCATGTACCACACACCCCTGCCCCCTGCTTAATAGCTTATTTTCTAATCCAGATAATTGTGTTAAGTACTTCCAGAAACTCTGAGAAAGATACTGGCCCATGTAGACATTTTAGAGATGAGATAAGGCTCAGTGAGGTGGTCAGAGCCCTGAGTGAGGTACATGGCTTCTCTCCTGACTGCAGGCAGAGTCTGTGCTCTTGAGCACATTTATACAGCATTACTGCTATCTTGACTTCCAAAACTCAGCAATAATTTCTTTTTTTTTTTTTCTTCTTACTGTGGACATAAAATAAGAAAAGTGGGCATCAGGAACTAGTAAAAGGAATGGAGTTTGCTTTCTTCTCAGAGGTCAGATGTATAGGGATCTGAGAAACTAAGCATTCAGTTCTTGTGGGTGTTTTTGAACTAGGTGGGTATATTATTACCCACCCAGAAAATAAAATGTGTCCTTCTAAACCCTTTTTTTCCTCATAGTTTTTGTGTTTTTTAAGTTTATGGGTATCTGGTCCCTCTTCTTTCTATATTGTCCCTTCAGCAATTTTTTCTCCCTTTGGTGCCAGAGATTGAACTCAGGGCTTCATACAGGCAAGGGAAGCACTCTACCATTGAGCTGTATCCCTATCCCTTAGGTGTTACTTTCACCCATAAAGCTCTGACCCTACAGTTTTATGAGCATTCATTATGCTTCATAGTTTAATCACTTTATTCTTGGAGTAGATTCAAGGATCTTACCATACTAGAGCACTAACCTCCCAAGTCTTTGCTGTTTGCCAGGCATGGACTGAAATTGCCATGTACACAGGGTTCCATGTCAGCATTACCAGAGTTGTTAGGATAAGAGCCTGTGCTTTGGCAGCCATAAAACGTCTAAGCCAATTAAAGAGTCAGTAGTGAAAAATAGAAGAAGAAGGAGATTTATTCATTGTGGCAGCATTGGGAAGATAAAGAGCTCACAACCTCCCCTAGTGGACTTGGGGTCCTAACTTGAGTGTGAGGTTTAAACAGAAGCGAAGAAGTATGCATAACCAAGCAGTCCTAGTCAAGGTGTGGTCCTGCCTTTCCTCATTGTCTTAGTTCCCATGTCTTCTGCCCTGTTGTAAGAGCTTTCTCCTGGAGACAAAGTCCTCTTCTGGCTGCCCCCTGGGCTTCAGTCACCATAGGGAGGGCCCAGGCGTCTCTAACACTTCTTCATTTCTGCCAGGACTTTTTCTGTAGGGAAGCTGTTCCTTGAATCTGCCTTCCTCTGGTTTCAGAGGAGGCCTGCACATTCTGCCTAGCACATCCTGGAAACTGTCATCCAGGCTTCATTCACCTCAGCATGTACCCTTCAATTTGGCATCTGTTCATTGAACCAAAGCCCATTTTTATACTTACAGCTTGGGCTTGGATGACCTAGCATTTGAACCTGTAAACTCATAGAAACTGGATTTTTCCTTTATAATCAACTGCCATGGAGACAGGAGGGAGGTTTGCTGTGTTCACCTTTATTTCTGTTATCTAGCAGTGTTTATCATGTGTCGAACCCCTGTTAAGTATTCATTGAATGAACACCCTACTCCAGCCTTACCCAGCTACATTGCTCTTTGGTATTGTCTTTCTTGGCTGCTTGCCATGAAAGAAAAGCTGAAGTTTCCTTTGATTGCTGTTTTTCTTATCAGCTCTATCTCTCAGCCATCTATTCATTTGTTGAGCTCAGTTTTCTTAAGGTCTGTTTGATTTCATTTCCATCCCAGAGCCAAGATAATTTCACAGCTGTCACAGTGTTTAGTGAAGGTGTAGAGGAAAGGGAAGATACAGAACTTGGCTTCCAGTGCTGATCCTATTGTCCATGTAGTCTTGTCTGTTTGGTATTTGGACTCAGAACTGGTAGCTCTATTTTGACCCTGCTGTCTTTTCTTTAATGGAATATAAATGTCTTTGGGGGTGAAATTCTTGTTAAATTCTGCATAGTAGTGTACTAGAAAGATAAACCATAAAGTACTTCACATCTTCATTTATCAGATTATTCCTAGTATTTTATTAAAATCAACTATTATGGACTCCCTGTTTATTATTATTCAAACAAATTAAGCATATTCAGGCCTAGAGTCTATTCCTTCTAATTAGAGTCCTCCCCCCACCCCCCTTTTCCCAGATTTTTTTTTTTTAAATGCTATCACTGTCTAATTACACTGTTGATTTTTGTGAATTTTGGTTCTTCCCTGGAATGTAAAACGCAAGCTCCATGAAGGCAGGGCTTTCGCAAGGGCCTGGAGAGATGGCTCAGCGGTTGAGAGCACTGCCTGCTCTTGCAGAGGACCCAGGTTCAATTCCCAGCACCTACATGGCAGCTACGAACTGTCCTTAACTCCAGTTCCAGGGGAATCCGAAGCCCTCCTCTGACCTCCATGGCATTGCACGACACGGGTGAACTCACATACATGCAGGCAATATATTCATACACAGAAAATAAAGATAATAAATAAAATATTAAAAAAAAAAAACCTAGGCAAAAGGTTCACTTAGTAGGTGATCAGTGTCTTTAGACAACTGAATTGTGAATAGGCTAGTAGAAGCATACATTAGAATTTAATGGGAGATAGTTTTATTTTTTTGTTCCAAAAATATATTTTGCTTCACTAGGGTAGGGATGGTGGACAAAAGGCATTCTGAGGTGGTTTTTTGTTTGTTTGTTTGTTTTTTAAATACTGTTTCAAAATTTCAAAATCAGGCTGGGCATGGTGGCACACACCTTTAATCCCAGCATTCAGGAGGCAGAGGCAGGCAGATCTTTGTGAGTTCAAGGCCAGCATGGTCTACATAGTGAGTTCCAGCCTAGCTGGGGCTACAGGGAGACCCTGTCTCAAAAAGACAAAGAAAAAAAAAATTGAAAGTCAGACTCCCACAAGATGCCTTGAAATATTCACTTTGGTATTTCTGTATAGACACTGTGCTATAATAGACAGAACCCTGGATTTACGGCTTGGTAAGCGCGAGTTGTGGCCTGGCTCTGATTCATCTTGGTGTTTGGCCTTCTGCCTAGTCCCTTGTTGCTTTGGGTCTACTTTATTTAGTTTGACAGTTGATGGGGAAATACAGGATTTCTTGACATTTTGTTTGAGAGGCTCTATGGTACTTTTGTTATTTTTTTCAATTATTAATTGCCCATTCCCAGAGTAAGTTTTGAAAAATCAAGCTTTTTAGTTAAACGAGTTAGGCTTGTATATCTTTCACCACTTCTTTTTACTTCTTTGATGTAGCTATCCGATATTGTGAAAAATGTCAGTTGATTAAACCTGATCGGGCACATCACTGCTCAGCATGTGACACGTAAGTATTCCTCATCTGCTTTCGTTTAACACTAACACTGAAACTTGGTAGCAGAAGAAACATTTTACATGCTTTACAGTTAACAAAACTGTTTCATCCTTTCCCATCATTTGGGGTAGATTAAGAGTTAACAAAAATATATTTGGACTATACCGTAAGGAGTCTTCAATAACAGTTTCTCTGCTAGTTGATAGAATTTAACTTCAAATATGCTTTCTATGCTTATGTTTAATGTGATTTTTGATGAGCCAGTAATTGCAACTTCCTTAAAAAAGCTAATTTCTTGGATTAAAGACTATAATGATATTTTCTTGATTTTATTATTGATGTTGATATTAAAAACTTAAACAATTCCTTAGTTTTCAGTTGCCATGTATAACATTCTAATCCTGTGTTCATGTGAGAAAGTAGTGTTATTAAAAAATACTCATTTTAAGCCACGTGTCAATAATGTTTAGCCATATTTGCTTCTAACATTTTATTTGTATGATCTGTACATGCTTAAAATGATAGAAGTCATCTGTTTGCATTTTGTCTGCTTAGCTGACTTTTAAACTAGGCCTTCCTGATGTATAAAACAAGACTCATTCCTAGATTCCAGTATTAAAATGTCATTTGGTGTGGCAGTGAGCCAGATGTGCTCAGCTGACTCCATAGCGTCAAACACCATGACTGCTTACCTATGGAGATCCCTATGGGAATGCCAGAAATGATCTCTAACCTGATGTTTCTGGATTGGTTCTCTAAGATATAGTTTTATAGGGAAATTTTTTGTAAAGGAAAAATTTTAAATCAACTAAAATTGTATGAAATTACAGTTGGGGGTTTTTCTGTTTGCATGAATTTTCTTATGCTTGTTTCTTAGGTGTGTTCTTAAGATGGATCATCACTGTCCTTGGTATGTATGAAAGACAGAGGAGATTGCATGAGTAGGGGAAGGTGGAAGGAAAGACTTGAGAAGGATTTACTAAAGTATTTATTTTAGGTGTCTTTTTTTTCTTCTCGTACTGAGGTTTGAACCCGGAGTCTCCATACATGCTAAGCATGTGCTCCACCATTAAGCTATACCCAGCCCAATATTCCTATATTTGAACTCAATTCAATTACTAATCAATGTTAAGAATGATCTGTTCCTACATGCATATATAGATATGGACATATTTACATTTAAAAAGTTTTCTTTTAAAAATGTCTTCTGATGATTAATCCCAATGGTGATATATTACAAATTAGCATTAAAATGCAAGATTGTGTATAGAATATATTAAAAGTACATCTGTAGTTGAGACATTGTTTCCTAATTCCTAGTTGACATTGGGGTTCCAAGTAATAATGATACACTCTTTCCTAATTCCTAGTTGACATTGGGGTTCCAAGTAATAATGATATAAGCTTGCTGATTTCTTTTTTGTATGGCTAAAATGTAATAACATAAATATACTATTTTGCTGGGCGTGGTAGCACATGCCTTTAATCACAGCACTTGGGAGGAAGAGGCAGGTGGATCTTTGTGAGTTTGAGGCCAGCCTGGTTTACATAGTGAATTCCAGGACAGCTGGGGCTACAGAGAGACCCTGTCTCAAAAAGACAAAAAAATACATAAATATTACTATTTTAACTATTTCTACAAGTTGAGTAATGTTAAGTAGATTTACGGTGTTGTGCAGTCTCCATGATTTTTACATCTTACAAAACTGAACTGTTTTCATGAACTGACTCTCAACACCTCCCTCCCACCAGCCCCTGACAACCCTATTCTGTTTTCTATTTCTGTGAATTTGTGACTTTATTTTTATAGTGTGACTTTCTGTATTCTTCTAGGGTGAATAACTGTGTGGGATTTACTAATTACAAATTCTTCATGCTGTTTTTATTGTATTCCCTACTATATTGCCTTTTTGTGGCTACAACAGTTTTAGAGTATTTTATAAAATTTTGGACGGTAAGTCTTTTTTTTACCTGCCTTAAAACTTGTATTAAAGATGATTAAAGATGATATGCTTGAAAAGAATTACTACATATTATAAATAGACATACTTTAATTTTACTGATATGACTTTATTAGTGGGTCTGAAGACACACAGGGCTATACTTTTCCTTCATATAAAGTATAGGTTTACTTATAAATAAATGTATATTGCACAAGACATAATGAGTTTCTTTCAGTGGTCTAGATTGTTTGAGACAAGCCAGTGTAAGAAGGGAGCATTTTCTTCAGCTTGCTAAGACTCACTGCAGTTTCACAGTGAGAGGCACATCCTTGGCCCCAGACAATCACCCTGGCTTTCTAGCTGCATACATTTTTCAGCATTTAAAAAAATAGCAAATAATTGAAAAAAAAAAGTTTTCATCATCAGGGTCTAAAATGTGGTTTATGTAAACAGCTGCCTAAGAAAGAAAGATGCTCTTTACAGCAAATGACTGGGAAGTCATCAAAAGAGGACATCTGTATAGTATGTGATGGTTTCTTTCCATGGGGAAACAGCATACGTGTGTGTCCTGGCTGGCTTCTCCAGACATGTTAGAAAATTAGTTACAATCGTCACATCTAGGAAGGACAGTTGGGAAGGGAGACATGGTTTCTGTAGTTACCCTTTAATTTTTGTGTGCTATGTACAAATACTAATTAGTCAAATAATAATTTAGAAGTTAAATTTAAAGTTCAAACCTTTTAAAATATGAAAGTATGCGCTTTAAGAGAAAAAAAGGCCACCACAAGTGTGGAAAGAACTGTATCTCCAAAGTGCTGCTCTTCATTCGCTAGTAGTGTTTTAGTATTATTTGGTTTTTTAAAATCAGTGCATGTACTCTTTTGAAAATTTAGAAATAATTTTTAAACATATTAAGCCCCCCTTTCATTAAATTCTTTAGATATTCTTCATCCCTTGTCTCTTTTCCCTTCATCCCATCAGCCCCCTTAAATGTAGGTTCAGTCTCTTGCTGCCTGCCACACTGCTGGTTCTCTGTATTGTGTTTCTGGTGGTCACTCGTACTCAGGTGGCAGTCACAGCCACTGTCCTCAGCCCTAGACTGACCCTTCTGAGCCCCTACCCAATCTTCAGTTGATATTAAACCCTCAAACATGATAAAGCTGTCCTAAAAATTAACTTGTTTCAAATCAGTGTCCTGTTTTCTTTCCATTCTTCCTGTGCTTAAATGATTTAATGGAAACAAACTATACCAGCCCATCAGTTTCCAGGCTAGAATATTAATGTCATCTTGTTCTTGTTTGTCCTTTGTGATGCCTATGTCTAGAATCCGAGTGGTATACTACAAAAGGCTTTTTTAACACACAGGTGCCATTTATTTGATATAATAACTCCATGAAGGCAGAAATTGTTTTATTCTTTTGTTCATTGATAGAGCACCTAAATATTTATTGCCTAGCACACAGCATAGTAGGTGTTTAGTAAATAATGGCTGAATGACAGAATAGCCAAAGTGAAGATATTTTAGATTGGTCTTTAATTTGTGAAATTTGGAGTAACACTTATCTCACAGAATTAGTACATAGATTAAATTAGTGTAAATATATGGTATATAAAAAGCATTCAGTAGATGGGATGAGGGGGTGTGTTTATGTGTGTGGGTGTGCAGATGCACGTGCATGTACTTTGAGACAGGGTCTCATTCTAGCCAGGCTAGCCTAGAACTCACTGTGTGTAGACCAAACTCAGGACGGTCCTCCAGCCTCAGCCTCTTGAGATGTCTTTGGTTTTCTTTTTCGAATTCTGTGCACCTCAAACCATTCCTGTCTTACACCAGGGCTGTCTTCTGATGTCTCCTTATTGTTCTCTCTGTAAGTGCAGTGACTGCTAACAGAACAATGTATCTGGCTTTATTTTGCATGTTTAAAAGTATGTGTTCACTAGTCATTGTCTTTTTTTTGCTCCTATTTTGTTCTTGTCCATTTTTTTCTGGTAGGTTTTTTTTGTTTCCATAGAAAAGAGTTTTTATACTAAAAGATTAATCTTTTTCTTAACATTAGTATAGATGAGTATTTCTTTAATAAAACACAGAAATCACTAATTATCAAAGCAAAAATCAATAAATTAGACTGCATTAAAATTAAGAATTTCTCCTGTCCAGGAGCCACTGTATACCTTTACTTAATAATCTGTGGCTGAGGCAGAAGGTTTTCTTCAACCTAGTCATTAGAGAGCAGCCTGGGCCAGCCAACACAGTAAGTGACTCTCTGACTTACTGTGAGCAGCAAACAGCCAACACAGTAAGTGACTCTGACTTACTGTGAGCAGCAAACAGACAACACATGGCTCTTAGAATACCAATATGCACAAGACATGAGGGTTTCCTGAAGATACTCATCTTTTTTTCTGTCTCTGGTTGCAAAATTCCCACCCACATTTTCAACTTTATTTATTTATTATTTATTTATTTATTGGTCTTTTTGCGACAGGGTACATCATTTATTTATTTATTTATTTTTGGTCTTTTTGAGACAGGGTCTCCCTGTCGTTGCTCCAGCTGGCTTGGAACTCACTATGTAGACCAGGCTGGCCTTGAATGCACAGAGATCCGCCTGCTGGGATCAAAGGTGTGTGCCACCACACCCAGCAAAATTTTGTTTTTTGGTTTTTTTTTTTTAAATTTATTGTTTTATGTGTATGAGTGTTATGCCTGCATGTAGGTAAGTGCACCTGTGTTGTGCAGTGCCTGTGGAAGACAGAAGACGCTGTCAGATCCCCTGGAACTGGAGTTACAGACAGTTGTTAGCTGCCATATGGGTGCTGGGGTTTGAACCCCAGTCTTCTGCAAGAACAGTCAGTGTTCTTAACCGCTGAACTATCTCTCCAGCCCCGAAATTTTGTGGTGGTTTTTCTTTTTCTTTTTTTCTTTAATATTTTATTTATCATTTTTATTTTATGTGTATGAGTGTATTGCCTGCATGTATGTGAGTGCACCTGTGTCGTGTAGTGCCGTGGAGGTCAGAAGAGGGCTTCAGATTCTCCTGGAACTGGAGTTAAGGACGATTTGTAGCCACCATGTGGGTGCTGGGAATCAAACCCGGGTGTTCTGCAAGAGCAATCAGTGCTCTTAAACCACTGAGCCACCTCTCCAGCCCCAAAATTTTGTATTTTTAAACTGACTCTATTTATGATTTTTGACTGTTGCCTGTAAGATTGCACAAATGTTGACCCATTTTCTTCTGGTACCTTCATTGTTTTCATTTTACATTTAAATATATTATTTGGAAGAGGAGATTATTGTGGTACTTCTGTGTTTACTCTTTCTAATACCCTATAAAGATGTTTTAAAATGTAGGTGTTGTTACTATCCAGGTACAGCAAGACCCCCAGAGCTAGGGTCAGTTGTCTCTGAGGAGGTAACGGGAGAGAAGGGGTACACCTGGAGGGAAGCATGGAAGCATGGGAAGCTTAGGAGTGAAGTCCAGAGCTCGTGGAGCTGTTTCTGTGGAAAAGACAGGGTAAACAGCTTTAGGACTGGCCAGTTTGAGTAATCTCAGTGGACTCTGGGTGCCAGGTCTACCTCCTTTGTCTTTATCTGGTCCTGGAATGACTAACAGAGGAATACTGCCTCCTGGTGAGGGTGGTGACAGGAATGGCAGGCTTGGAGTTTAGGCTTTGGATTGCTTGGTATATGAAAGTTGCCCTCCTGGGTGGGTGCTTTGCTTTCTAAGAACTAGCTGGTTTGGGAGAGGCAGTCTTTGAAGTCAGTGAAGCCCTAAGATTTGAGCATCTACACAAGAAGGAAGGAACTGTGACTTATTTTTATTTTATGTGTATTGCTTGCATGTGTATAAGTGCACCTGTGTTGTGCAATGCTCAGGTAGAAATTAATTAATAAAAACAAAATGAACTAGCTTATTTACTTCTCTTATTTTAAGGAATTTGCCTTTGTAAATGAAATTTTAAGGTTATTCTTGAGGCGTATTTTTAGATTAGAGTTGAGAGGAGAGTGCTAATGTAGTTAAACTCAAAGTCACAAATGTTCTGTCCTAAATATAGATAGTTATTAACATCTTGGTTTGAGAAGACAAACACTGTCTGGTAGGTGATTTTGGCTTTATCAGTTGTATTGAGTTTCTGGACTGTCAGCCAGCAGGAAATGTAAACTAGATCCCAAAGTTAGGAACTTATTTAGTTTTTAATTTCCCCTTAATTTTTTTTGTCTTCCCCTCTGGCCTCAGGTTCCATCCCCAGGATGCCAACATTTCAGCTACAACCTACAAATAAAAAATGAAGCACAGGGTGCCAGTACTTCTGTATATGTTAGAGGAGGCATACCTCTGCCACAGTGAGGCCTCAGCTTCCCCTTTTGCTAGGCTATTGGGATTCTGTTTATTACTTGCTAGCCATACTAGCATTCAGTGCCAGGTGAAAGAGATTTCTAAGTGTACAGTCTTACATTTCCCTGTCAGCAAGTGCAGCAGTATTTATTAGCTTAGAAATTCAGCACTTCGGGGCTTAATGATTCATTATTTAAGAAAAAAAAAACTTCAGAAATTTCATCCTGAGTTAAAAAAAAAAAACCTACTAAACTTAAATCTACTTTTTTTAAAACAAATTATTATTATTGATCTTTTTGAGACAGGGTCTCCCTGCAGCCCCAGCTGACTTGGAACTGGCTTTGCAGACTAGGCTGGCCTTATTCTCACAGAGATCTGCCTGCCTGTGCCTCCTGAGTCCTAGGATTAAAGGTGTATGCCACCACACCTGGCTTTTTTTTTTTTTTTTTTAAAAAGAAATACTACTTTAGTACTTTTCTAGTTTCATTTCTGTTGCTGTGATAACATAATATGGCAAAAAGCAACTTGGGCAGTAAAGGGTTTCTTCAGCTCACAATGCCAGGCTATCATCTATCACAACAGGGAAGTCAAGACAGCAGGAGCCGAAGCAGCTCTCCAATCACATCCGTAGTCAGAAACACAGAGAACAAGTACTCCCATGCTTAGTACTAAGCTAGCTTTCTCTACTCATATAGTCTAGGACATAAACCTAAGGTGGTTCCTAGGTGGTTCTAGAGTATATTTGAGTTGACAAAACTAACCATCACAAGCACCTACTGTGTGCCAGATTGTGTTCTGGGACCTGGGCTAGATCAGTGAACAGACAAAAAGTTCTGTCTTTGTGTAGCTTACTTTTTATTTTGAGAAGAGTAGACAGATAATACAAATGGATCCTATGAGAGAGTTACCAAGTATGTGAGAAGATTGAGATAGAGTAGGTTGCATATTAAGGTGAATGGACAAGATGGGTCTCATTAAGAAGGGAAGATTTGTGCCAAGACTGGAGCAAATTAGTGGATGTCTAAGGGAAGAGGTTTCAAGCTGAAGGAACCTGTAGGTGTCCCTGGAGTGTTTGAGCCACAGCAAGGGAACTGTTGCAGTTGTAGTAGACTGAGTAAGGAAAATACAGGGAAGCCCAGGAGGTGGAGCCAAGTGACACTTGTCTTAGAGCCCAGTGGGCAAGGGGCTAGAGTGAGCACAGCCACAGTGTTCGAGGCTGTCATTGTTTTGCCAGCTGAAACAAGGCAGTAGCTATGAAACTGGTAAGAAGACATCAGGTCTCATTTTTGAAACTTCTAACTGGACATTTAAAGAAATAGAGATGTATATGCTAAACATTTATTCTTCTAGACACAAATCTTCTCCAAAATTGAGTAGAAAAGTATCTGTTTAGAGGGTATGTGAGATGTGTTTGAAGAGCTAAATGTTCTTACCTGATCTCTATGTTGAATTTTTTGGGAAAGTGTAGATGACTGGTAGTGGGCTATTTCATGTACTACTCCTTCGAAATGTATGGGACTTACAAAACCTAGCATTCAGGATACCTTGGTATAAAAATCGTTTTCTTTATTTATTGTCTCTATTTGCACAAGCTTTGCCGCAGGAAGTCTACAGAGAATTGCCCAAAGGTAAAGCACACCATTGCCATGACTTTTTCATGATCTCTTTTATGACATTGAGAGTGAATGTATGTAATTAAAATTTGCTTCCATAAGTTGGCAAGATAGAAGTATCTTTTTGTTTTGTTTTGGGATTTTGTTGTGGTTACACTGGGAGAAAAGAGAGGGAAATGTCATCAGAATAATGATGCAGGGCTAGGGAATATTCAGTGGTAAAGCTTCTGAGTCTCTAGGTTAATCCCCAGCACCACAAAACAGACAAAAACTAGTGCTAATAGCCTTTCTTTAGTATGTAAGACACCTGTGTGGTGTGTGGTGTGGGGCGGCAGGGTGGGTTGTATGTGTGTGGGTGCTCATGCATGTGGAGGCCACAGCATGGCATTGGGTGTTGTCTTCTATCACTTTCCTCCTTATTGCTGAGATAAGTTCTCTCACTGAACCAGGAGCTTGCTGGTCAGTGAGCTCTCCTGATCGCCCCTCCTCAGTGCTGGGGTTACAGTGATGTGCAGCCATTCCCTGCTTTCTTTGTGGGTGCTGGGGATTTGTACTCAGGCCCTCAGGCTTGCAAAGCAGACACTCCTACCCACCAAACCATTTTCCTGTCAACAATTTTTTTTCTTTTTTTTTGAGACAGGGTCTTACTGTAGCTCTGGCTGAACTGAAACTTGCTATGTAGACCAAGCTGGCCTCCAACTCACAAAGATCTACCTGCCTCTTATTCCCAAATACTGGGATTAATGGTGTGAGCCGCCATACCTGGCCCTTAACATTTTCTTTTTGATTATAGTTGTATGTGTGTTTATAATGTGTGCATATGAATGTGGGCCCGCATGTGCCATGGCATGCATATAGAAGACAACTTTTGCAAGTCAGTTCTTGCCTTCCACCATGGGTTCTAGGGATTGAATTCAGATTGTCAGGTTCAAGCAGCAAGCACTTTCACCTGTTTATCCATCTTGCCAGATCTCCTCTCAAATATGTTGTTTTAAAATTTTTGTTATGTGTTTGAATGTGTATATGTGTACAGTACATGCATGCAGGTGGTTGCGATGAGCCACCATATGGGTGCTGGAAACCTAACCCAGATCCTCTGGAAGAGCAGCAAGTGCTCTTAACTGCTGAGCCATCTCTCCAGTTCCCTTAAATACTTTATTTTTAATTTATATGTATACCACAAGTACGCAGGTACTCACTCTCAAAGACCAGAAGAGGGCATTGGATCCCCTGGAACTAGAGTTAGAGGCAGTAGTGAGCTGCTGACATGGGTGCTGTGATGCTCAGCAGCAGGTGCCCTTAATCATTAAACAATCTCTCTAGCCCTCGTCAAATACTGTTTAAATCAAGAAAGGTTTTTGTTTTTTCTTTTGAGATTTGGTCTCATGTATCCAAGGCTGACCTTGCTCCTCCTGTTTCCACTTTCTGAGTCGTGAAATTACTGGCATGCACCACCATGCCCAGATTTTTTGTGCTGCTGAGAATTGAACCCAGGGTTTTGTCCATGTTGAAAATCCTCTACCAACTGAGCTATATCCCTAGCCAGCCAAGCCCCCTGATATGATTTTATTTTTAAAAAGCAAATATTTAAAAGGTTCTTCCTATTAATAGATGATTTCTTCTACCTCCTCCTGTTAGTAGGTACTAATTTCTTCTATCTTAAAACTTCTGTTAAAATGCACGTAACTGTAAGAAGGAATAACAGAGAAACTGTTTTCATTCACCTTGTGATAACTTTATCAAAATTGTCAATTACCTAACAAAGGCTCCAAGGAAAAGAAGCAAGGATGAAGAAAAGAGGAATTGGAGCATCTAAGATCTAAGGTCATGGACACCTTTGAAGTGTGACCCAAAAATAGAGAAGCATAGAAATAAAAGTTAAATATATCACACTCAGTTTGTGGTTACAGCTTATATAATTAAGCACCTGTTAGTAGATAAACGGGAGAACCCTTGTTCCTTCTGAATTTGAGGGAAATTTGAATATATACATAAGCTATAAAGTAAAATGATTGGGTAGAAGAGTCCATCTTTTCATTTTATGACTGAATTGCTAAGATGGTTAAATGTTTAAATGACTGACCTTTTATGGGCTCAGCCTGCTTTGGGAATGCTGCTAGATTATGCCTGCAATTCTTGGTTGGGGTCTATTGTCTCATTGATTTCAATACTCTCATATGTCAAATTTTTTGGTAAATTCAAACTTTAACAAAACCAGATTATGAGTTATGAGGTTCAATATCCTCAAAATTAACTCTTCTTTCTTCTTTCCTCAGAATGAACTGGCAGATACACGTGCAAAATTCCATGTACTTTTTCTTTTCTTTGTGTCTGCAATGTTCTTCGTCAGTGTGCTCTCGCTGTTTAGCTACCACTGCTGGCTAGTTGGAAAAAATAGAACAACAATAGGTAAATAGACTGAACTAAAATACAGTTCTTTAGGAAAATGACCACAAATGAATGTGAAATCCAGAGAAAGACTGTAGTCAGGTATTAAAGAAATGAAAACTAATTCTGTATTTAAATGTCACTGTGATTGGATACAGTGGGTGTATTAAGAAGTGTAAAGCTCACGTTGAAAAAGATTGCAGAAATGACTATAATATGTAATTTCAGTGATTTATATAAAAATAGAGAACTGACTATGTTTTTTAAAATACTTTATTTTTGGGCTGGAGAGATACAGTTCAGTGGTTAAGAGCACTGACTCCTCTTGCAGAAGACCTGGGTTCAAATCCCAGCACCCACGTGGTGGCTAACAACCATCCGTAACTCCAGTTCCAGGGGACCCAATGCCCTCTTCTGTTCTCTGCAGGCATTTCACAACATGGATATACTTACATGCAGGCAGTACATGCATACACATGAAATAAAATAAATATATATATTTTGGGGGTCTGAAGAGATGACTCAGCGGTTAAGACTACTGGTGGTTCTTGCAGAAGACCCAGGTCTGAATCTCAGCATCCACATGGCAGCTAACAACTGTCTGTAACTCCAGTCTCAGGGGATCCAACAGCTTCTTCTGACCTCCTTGGGCCTTGCAAGACACGGGTGCACTTACCTACATAGAGGCAATACACACATACACATAAAATAAAAATAATTAATAAAAAATTTTTTAAAATAAAATAAATATATGTGTTTTATTTTTAAGATTTTTGTTTATTTTTATTTTATGTGTATGTGTGTTTGCCTGAAAGTACATTTGTACCTGATTTTTGTGGCTGCCAGAAGAGGGCATCATAATCCTGGAACTGGAGATATGGAGGGTTGTTAGCCACCATGTTGGTGCTGGGAACCTAACCTAGGTCCTCTGCAAGAATAGTCAGTGCCCCCCCCCCATTTTATGTGTGTGTGTGTGTGTGTGTGTGTGTATTTCATACAGAACATCCCAAACAATCTTACCTTTATACCTGCATCCCAAATGGCCCTCTCCCATACTGTCCCCCTCCCCCACTGAAGCCCATATACTCTGTCATCCCTGTTACTGCTCACTGTGTTGTCAGTGCCCCCAGTCATTTCCCAGTCTATCCTGTGAGTCTAGTCAGCCTATCTAGAGACCTGGGTTCAAATCCTAGCACCCATGTGGCAGTTAACAACTCTCCATAACTCCAGTTCCAGGGGATCCAACAGTCTCTTCTGTCCTCCATGGGCATTGCACGACATAGATGCACTTACCTACATGCAGGCAATACTCTCATACACATAAAAATAATAAATATTTTTAAAAATTAACTTTTTTAAAAAATGAAAGTATAGAGGAAGAATTCAGTAAGATGTTTAATGGTAGGACTTGGCATGGTAGGGCAGACCTGTTACTCCAGCATTCAGGAAGCTAAGGCAGGAGGGTCACACATGTGTAATATAGGGGTACATAACAAGACATAGTCTCAAATCAGAAAATGAAGTAGTCACATTGAGCTGTTGTCCTGTCAGACTTAATACCTTCTTATGATTGAAATATTTATGTAGCTTATATGTTAGTAAATTCATAAGTATTATACCATAGTTGTAATTTTGTATGAAAATTAAAGGCCACCTGCTCTGAAGCCCATAGATTGGCCATGTGAATTGGAGAAAACAGTTTTTTAGTGCAGAAAGATGAAGAGATTTGAGTTGTACATTTTAGCTACTTATGATTTGAATCACTCTAATCTTGTATGTTACTGTTTTATATGGGCTTCCTGTATAAGGATCTCTGCTTTTGCCAGCTCTTCTCCATTTCCTTATGCTTTATTTTCCATATAAATAAAAGTCCTCACATCTATTAAGTACTTTGTCCTCTTTACAAAATGCCCTGCCATCTCTTACCTTTAGTCAGAACTGGCAAGAAGTTCACCAGTATGCAAAGCCTAATACTAAAGCCATTCTTTAAAAGCTAAAAACTGAGAGATTTCACACAGAAAATAAGAATTCATTTAGAAATTGATAAATCTGTTATTGGTGGGCCCATTTTCCCAACTGGAACCAACCAGTTAGGGGTAAATTGTATCCAGTAGCCTTAGATGGGATGTGAGCACTAATTTGCTTCTCACAAAGCTTGATTTTTTTTGTTGTTGTTTCTTTGTTTGTTTTGAGACAGGGTCTCTCTGTAGCCCTAGCTAGTCTAGAACTCACTATGTAGACCAGGCTGGCCTTAGATCCACCTGTCTCTGCCTCCCTAGTGCTGGGCTTAAAGGCATGCGCCACAATGCCTAGATACTAAACCTAATTTTTGATTTTTTGCTTGTTAGCCTGAGCCTTTAATGGCCAAGCTATCCCTCCAGCCCAACAAAGCTTGATTCTTTTCGTCGAGGCTGCACTTTGTATATGAGATGGACTCTGCCAGAATACCTCAGCTGGATCTCTTAAAGGAAGCAAGATCTGATTGGACTTGTATTCTCAGAGGTTTTAGGTCACGGGGTTACTCCCTACGTTGTTTGTGCTCTGTGGTAAGCCCACACATCCAGGTAGGGAAAGCAGAGCTGCTGACCTCATGGCAGTTAGGGAAAAGGAGAGGAAGGGAGAAAGAGCACCTTTCTTGGTTCCATTAAACTCTAAAGGACCTACCCATCTCCCCATGACCTGCTCCCTCTAACTGACCTCTACTTCTGGATGGTTTGGTTTCAGCACCTTCTGTTGATGCTGTCAACTAGCATCCAGTCCTTAGCATATGGTTTGGGAGCCATTTCAGATCCTAACCATAGCATGGTATTTCTAGGCACCTCATTGTTCCTTCTGAATAATCTTTTTCAAACTTATTTTTACCCGTGATATTATTTTATACCATGACTTAGTACATGCATGTATACTTAGAAAAGTATATAAATAAGAACATTACAGAACATTATTAATTTTAACCCTGTATAATATTCTCTTGATATTTTGTGCAATCTTGTTCATCAGCCACTAAGTTGATTTTGTGGCCATTTTTTGAATAACATGTTGCCTTAGTATTACCACCCTACGGCCCTGGTCTCTCTCTAGTTCCTCACTGCTGTATCCAGATTTTTGTTCTCTCCTTTGAGGGCATTTTATTCTGTTTCACCTCTGCTCTTCACAACCTAGCCATCTTTAGATCATTTCCCCACATTTCAGTGAGTTCTGGATTCCAGTTAAAGCCATTGTCTTAAGCAGGAAGCTTGTCTTATCCTTTTGATTTGGGTGGTCATTCGTTCCCATAATCACACACACCTCCCCACCCCCACCCCCTCCCTGTGTGTGTCTGTGTGCCTCTGTCTCTGACAGGGCCTCCTGTAACTGAGACTGATCTCAAACTCTGTGTAACTAAGGATGACTTTCACCTCCTCATTCTCTTGTCTCTGCCTCTGAATGCTGGGTTACTTACAGTCATCTTCGAAAATATTCAACCAGAGCATTCCATCCTCTCACCGGGCCTTCTACCTCTCCTTTGCCTCTGTACTCCGGTGCACCCCTTTTTTAGATTCCAAGTCCTCCCTTACCAAGTTTTTCTCTTCTGCTTTAATTTTTCACATTCATTTATTCTAGATTTCTGATAGATGACTTTAACTCTTTATAGCACTCATGACTCTTCTGCCCCTAGATTTTCTCCCATGATTCTTCTACTAATCCATGAACTGGGGTTTTCAATCATCTACTCTGTTATCATGTCCAGCAGTGCTTTGACATCTAGAGGAAAGCTGAACTCCCAGAGTGTTAGTCCTTAGAGTGGAGAACTCAGACCTCACTGGGGTCCTCAGTACTGGCTCTATTGCCCTGAGTTTCTGGTTGGGATTTTCACCTGTTTTCCACAAGATTAATCCAGATTGTCACCATTCTTTGACTTTCCTTCCCATTTGTGAGTGCTTCAAGAGAAAAACTAAAAAGCCACAAGCAAGCTCCCATTCTCTCACCTTCATGACCTTCTATTAAATGTTTCTTTGTTTCTTGTTTTCTGCCTGTGACTGTCAGCCCTCCAACTTCTGAAGAAAGATGTCTTTTCTGGTGTATAAGATTTTTGCATAGAGCTCATCTAGATACTTTCTTTTCCTCTTGGATTTTTTTTTGGGGGGGGGTTCTATTCTACTTTCTTGTACTATCAGCCTCTGCCAGAGCTCCATCTTATCCATAGCCTTTAAGGCATGCTGAAGTCATTGTTTTGGGGGTGTTTTTTGTTTGGTTGGTTGTTTTTTGTTTTTTGGGTTTTTTTTAATCTTTTTGAGACAGGGTCTTCCTGTAGTCCAAACTGGCCTGGAACTCACTATGTAGACCAGGTTGGCTTTGAACTCAAGAGATCCTCCTGCCTCTCCCTCTTACAAGTGCTGGGACTAAAGGTGTGCACCACCACGCCTGGCTATTTTGGGGGGGTTGTTTTTGTTTTGTTTTCTGAGTCAGGGTCTCTCTGTAGCCCCAGCTGGCCTGGAACTTGTTTTATAGACCAAACTTGCCTCTGCCTCTGAGGGCTGGGACTAAAGGCATGCACCATCACTCTAGACTGGAGTCATTGTTTTAAAAACAGAGAATTAGGCAGTCCCCTGGAGCAGAGCCATGATGGGGTTCTGATAGCTCAGCCCGCTTTTCCCCCAGAAAGGCTAAACTTTTTTTCTTCCCTCTTTTTTTCTTTTAGCTGCTGGCCAAAACTTAAGTATGCTTTTAAACTCCATAGCTAACACTTTTTCTAAAGCTCCTTTCTGCATGCTCCCTTCAGTCACTGCTGGGTGACTGACCTCTGGGCTGCCTTAAGCAGCTTGGCTTTTGTTTCTTCTCCTTCTAGGCAGCTGTAAGGTTTGCAGTTTGCCAGCCCTAGGGTTTTCCTTTTAAACTCTGGTAAAAATTGTCCTCAAGCTTCAAATTAAATATATAAATAATAAAGTAATAAAGCTTTTCTTGTGAGGTCTTTTTCTTGACCTCATTCTGTATCATTTGACAAGCAATGGTCCATAACCTGCATGTGCCACCCATCCCTTGTCCATGAGCATGCTTGAGAACCCCTCCCTCCATCATCTACCCTACTCTCACCCCCAACACACACACACTCCTTCTCCTGTTAAGACAATATTAGCTTCTTTCATGTCTGTATTCACAGGTTGCCAGGGCTGTTTTAGCACTTGGCATGTGTAGTTTTGCTAGACTGTCAATTCTTTGATAGAAATATCATCTACATTTTTGTTTGTACCTGTGTTATTTGGAATATAATAGGATGTTCATAAATAATGAGTTCAAAGCTTAAAGATAAAATGAAGTGGAATAAATCAAAAGAAGTATAGTATTATCTTTTAAGCTGAGGATTTAGCTCAGTGGCAGATCACTAGACTAGCATGTGCAAGGGTTCATTTATTAGCACCATAAAAATAAAATTGATAAAACAGACGTTACAATTTATTTAAAAGTTTTTCTTTTTTTCTTTTCTTTTTTTGGGGGGGTGGGGGGCAGGGTCTTCCTATAGCCCCAGCTGGCCTGGAACTCGCTATGCAGACCAGGCTGGCCTTGAACTCAGAGATCCACCTGCCTCTGCCTCTGCCTCCAGAGTGTTGGGGTTAAAGGCGTATACCACTGTGTCTGGCTAAAAGTTTTTCTTTTAAAGATTTGGGTTTTTTAAAAGTTTTTAAAATTTTTATTTATTTTTATTATATGTGTATGCGTGTATTGCCTGCATGTAGGTAAGTGTACCCGTGTCATGCGATGCCCACGGAGGTCAGAAGAGGCTGTTGGATCCCCTGGGACTGGAGTTACGGACAGTTGTTAGTGCCATGTAGCTGCTGGGATTCGAACCTGGGTCTTCTGCAAGAGCAACCAGTGTTCTTAACTGCTGAGCCATCTCTCCAGCCCCATGTTTTTGTTTTTGTTTTTTAATTTTAAATTATGTATCTGTGTGTGGGTATGTGTACCTGCTTATGGGTGCTCCTGGAGTCTAGAAGAGGGCATTAGATCCCCTGGAACCAGAATTACAGACAGTTATCTGTCACCATGGGGTGCTAGGAACCAAATTCAGTCCTCTGCAAGAGCAGTGTGTGCTCTTTAAGTGCCAGGCCATTTCTGCAGCCTCTCAAAAAACATTTTTAAAGCTGGTTATGGTGGTATACTCTTTAATGTCAGCACTCAGGATATGGAGGCAGGCAGAGCTTGGTGAGTTCCAGTTCTAAGCTTTGCCCACCCAGCAAGTTCAAGGTCAGCCAAAGTTATGTAATGAGACTCTGCCTCAAAAAACGAAATAAAGGGGCTCTGGAGAGATAGCTCAGCCATTAAGAGCATTCTTATTCTTGCAGAGAACTGGGCTGTGTTCCCAGCACCCACATGGTAGCTGATAGTTATCACCAGTTAACTCTGGTTCCAGGGAATCCAGTTTTCTTTTCTGGCCTTGTCAGTCCCTGCATAGACCTGGTACGTCTACATACATTTAAATAAAACACTCATACACAGCCAGGCATAGTGGCACATGCCTTTAATCCTAGCAGGCCCATGAGCTCAAAGCCAGCCTAGTCTATATGGTAAATTCCAGTTTTGCACAATAGCAGTATCATGTTTTATTGTTGGGCCTGGAGGCACATGTCTTTATTTAGTCCCAGTACTCGGGAGGCAGATGCAGGCAGATCTCTTTAAGTTCAAAGCCAACCTGGTCTACATAGTAAGTTTCAGGCCAACTGGGGCTACAGGGAGACCAAAAAAAATCCACAAAGTTTGGGTTTTTTTGTTGTTGTTGTTGTTTTTGTTTTGTTTTTTGTCTTTTTGAGACAGGGTCTCCCTGTATCCCCATCTGGCCTGGAACTCACTATGTAGACTGTGCCAGCCTCATCGAACTCAGAGATCTGCCTGCCTCTGCCTCCCGAGTGCTGGGATTAAAGGCATGTGCCACCACACCCAACTTTTTAAAGTTTTTTAAGAAGCAGTATATGCTAGGCATGGTGGCATACATCTTTAATCTCAGTACTTAGGATGCAGAGGCAGGTGGATCCCTGTGAGTTCAAGACCAACCTGAGCTATATAGCAATTCCAGGAAAACCAGAGTTACAACAAAATGCAGTATGTATTGAACACTTACTTCATTTGATTTTCAGTAATATTTGGATTTCTCATTTTATATGGTTGATGAAATAAAAATTTATCTTTCCCAAATAATTTCTGAATTTTATTTTTTAAAAAATGGGTGGTTTTGTTCTGTTCTTTGAGACAAGGTCTTACTATTTAGCCCTGGCTAGCCTTGAACTCACTATGTAGAACAGGTTGGCCTGGAGCTCACAGAGATCCACCTGTCTCTGACTCTCAAGTGCTGGGATTAAAGGTGTGTGCTTCCACGCCTGGCTAAAATAGATTTTAATTGACATGATAATTGTACATTTTCTTTTTTTAATATTTATATTTTTATGTGTATGCGTGTATTGCCTGCATGTAGGGAAGTGCACCTGTGTCGTGCAATGCTCGCAGAGGTCAGAAGAGGTTGTCAGATCCCTTGGAACTGGAGTTACGGACAGGTGTTAGCTGCCATGTGGGTGCTGGGATTTGAACCTGGGTGTTCTGCAAGAACAGCCAGTGTTCTTAACTGCTGAGCCATCTTTCCAGCCCCTGATAATTGTACATTTTCTATGGTATAGTCTGACATTTCAGTACATGTTTGCATTAGTGCATTTGTCACCTCAAATGCTTATTGTTCCTCATTATCTTTTTTGGGGGGGGTCTTTTTCTTTCTTTTCTTTTTTTTTCTTAACAGAATCATTCCGTGCACCTATGTTTTCTTATGGAATAGATGGAAATGGTTTCTCTCTTGGATGCAGTAAAAATTGGAGACAAGTCTTTGGTGATGAAAAGAAATATTGGCTAATTCCAGTATTTTCAAGGTAATTTATAAAATGTAAGAATTGGTTATGGTATCATATACTTCTAGTTAAATGTGTTTAGATTGAGAGATTTGGAGCTAGAGACATGGCTCAGCAGTTAAGAGCACTTGCTGCTATTTGAGGGGACCTGGGTTTGGTTCCCAGTACCCACATGGCAACTCACAACCTTCCCTAACTTTAGTTCCAGGCAATCCTGCATACTTCTCTGGCCTTGAAGGCAAAACAAAGTAAAACAATTTTTAAAAGTTTCAGAGGAGCTGGAAAGGTGGCTCACAGTTAAGATCACTGGCTGCTTTTGCAGAGGACCTAGGTTTGATTCCTAGCACCCACATGGCAGCTAACAACTGTCCATAACCCCAGTTCTATGGGAACCCAATCCCGTCTCTAACCTCCTCAAGCATTACATGACACAGGTGCATTTACGCACATGAAGGCAAATACATTCATACATACAAAAAATAATAATAAATAAAATATTTTTAGAAAAGAAAAACATATTCTCCAGCTGATTCATTTTTCCCTAATTCCAGCCATTTTAGGCCATCTGTGCGTTGCACTCATTACAGAGAAGGAAAAATATTTAATATTTGTAAGATATGTAAGGCATGGGGCTGGAGAGATGGCTCAGCGGTTAAGAACACTGGCTGTTCTTGCAGAAGACCCAGGTTTGAATCCCAGCACCCACATGGCAGCTAACAGCTGTCCATAACTCCAGTCCCAGGGGATCCAACAGCCTCTTCTGAGCTCTGCGGTCATTGCACGACACGGGCGCACTTAACTACATGCAGGCAATACACACATACACATAAAAAGAATGAATAAAATACTGAAAAAAAAATGATTTGTAAGACATGTAAGTGACTCGTACTTGTAGAGTACTTGGGAAGCTGAGGCAGGAGGATTGTTATGACTTTGAAGCTAATCTGTATTACCTGTCTCAAAAAAAAAAAAAAGAAATTATATCGTCTTTTAAATTGCCTTTTGGGGGCTTGTTTGGTTTTTTTTTTTTTTTTTGGTCTGAAAATGGCCTACTCGCCTTCATTTTTTTAAAGACCATTTTGATGGTATAGAATTCTAGATGTTATTTCATGTGGCATGCATTGTTTTCTGATAACAGGTTTATGATCACCTTATTTTTTTCACTCTATGTATGTTTACTTTGACTTCTTTTTTGGAATCAGAGCCCTGTTGGTCTGGAACTTGATACGTAGAACAGCCTGGCCTTGAACAAACAATGATCCACATGCCTCTTGTCTCCTGAGTGTTTGGAGTAATGACATGCACCAGTGGTCCTGACCTTTTGTGTTCTGTTTTGTTTTGATTTCTTTTGACACAGGGTCTCCCTGTAGTCCCAACTGGCCTGGAACTCACAGGGATTGCCTGCATCTGCATCTTGAGTGCTGGGATTAAAGGTGGATACCACCGTGCCCAGTGTTCTGTTGTTTTGTTTTAAATTTAAATTTTTTAAAATGTGTTTGAGTTTTGTACATGTGTGAAAGTTTACCATGCGCATACAGTGCCTAAGGTTAGAAGAGGATATCATGTTCCCTGGAACTGGTGTTACAAATTGAATTACCTGCCACATGGATGCTGGGAACCAAACTGGGTCCCCTGCAAGAGCAGCAAGTGCTATTAACCAACTCTTCAGTCCCATAGATGCCCTGTTTTTTTGAGGCAGGGTCTCATACCTCAGGCTATCCTCAAACTCACTATATAGTGGGAAACTGGCCTTGAACTTCTTCTGATCCTTCTCCCTCCATCTCCTGAGTGCTGGGATTACAGATGTGCACCATGGTGCCCAGCTGGTTCAGTTTCTTGTCTCTGCTTTTGTAGTTCAAATTTGGAAAAACTGTGCATTACCATTTGTATCATTTCCCTCCCCCACTGCAGATACTGTGTGTGTCCCTACATTGACTACCCAGTCCTCACAGCTTAATGATGATACTTGTTTTTTGGTGTGTGTGTGTGTGTGTGTGTGTGTGTGTGTGTGTGTGTGAGAGAGAG